CCCCCCAACCAGAAGGTCTGCTTGCAGAAGTGAGGTGCTCTGAGACTCACAGCCTGGCGGTTAGGGTCAGTTTTCACTCTTCTCTCCTTTCCCTGTTCTCTGGTCTCCCTCTGGCATCTGCCAGAAGGCAGGAACCCAGACTCCTCAGCAGTGGTGCTGTGAGCTGGGAGTTCCCTGTCTGGGATCCCACCATGGGCTGAGAGCATAGCCTTCCTGTGGGGACAGGGGTGCTCTGTGTGTGTACTGGGGCTGGGCCCCAGACTGCCCTCTCTTTGTAGTTCTGCCCATATAGAGTCCCTCACCTCCCCAGATCACTTCACAGATGTCCTCTCTGTGCCCCTGACTACATGATTGCATCCTGGGGGAGCAGGGTCTTGCCTGTGGGCCTGTTCCTGTGTCTCCACAGATCAATCCCTGACCATGGCAGGGAGAAGGTGCAGATCCTGAGTGGCCCATGGGCTGCTCAAGCAGGTTTTATAACCCCGTGCTATGCAGTGTGCCCTGCTCTGCTGGGGCAGCTGGGCCGGCAGCACCGGGGAGGGTGTGACTGGGGAGCTCACATTCTGAGTGCTCCTTAGTCTTCTGCAGGCCTTTAAGAGTTAGGCTTGATTCCTCTCTCTGTGGAAGCCCTGGTGTGGTCTGAGCACCAACGGGGCTCCTAAGACCTCAGCAGCTCCTAAGACCTCTGGCCCAGTTGACAGTGTGGGGAGGAGAGTAGAGGGGAGCAAAGAGTCTGGATGAACGAGAGCCAGCACTCTGGTGGTCTCTGTCCCTTTCTCCGAAGTACAGCCTGCCTGGAATGTGCAGACTCTGGGGTCACATAGATCACCTGGGCCCCACTGGGCCCCATGAATCCCGTAGTCTGGGCCAGAGTTAGAGAATGTATCTGTGGAAATAAGCACAACAAAACCGAGGAGCTGAAGCCCCCTGGGGAGGACAAAGGTGCATGATGGGTGGGGAGGCAAGGTGGCGCCTGTCCTGTTGTCTTGGGTCTGCGGTGGCGGGAAGGGCCCCAAGCAGGCTGGCCTGTTGGGTTCAGGAAGCTCCCAGCTCACTGTTGGCTGCAGCTTTTGAGATCATGAGGGTAGAAGAGCGCACCAGCTGCTCAAGGGCCTGCGGACTGTCAGAGGTGTGAGTGAGGGGCAGACTCCCCTCTGTCCTGCCTCTCGCTGGGCACCAGCTGCTCAAGGGCCTGCGGACTGTTGGAGGTGTGAGTGAGGGCAGAGTC